CTTGTATTTCTGTTCCATTATGAGTCTCTGAGAATGTTTCATGAAAGCAAGTGGTTGAGGCATCATTGGGCTGAGATCCCAGGTTCACCTGTGGACCCATCTGAGCTGCATCCCCCCAACAGTGCCCTTAATCCCAATCCCTCTTGCAAGTGTATGTATCTGGTAGTATCTCAGTATGGTTTTAATTTACGTTTTCCTGGAAGCTAATGATGTTGGAATGTTGACAGTTTGTGTTTCTTCTTCTGTGACACTTGGGCTCGGTGTCTGTCCATCTGTCACTTATGGGTTTGTTTCTCTTCTTGTACCTTATGGGTTTTGACTGCAAGCTCTTACTCAGATAGAAGTACTGTGAATTTTCTCCTATTCCATGGCTTGCCTTTCATTTTCTGACAGTGCTTCAAAGAACATAATTTTAGCTTCAATGAAGTCCAGTTTTCCATTTTTCTTTAATGATTTGTACTTTTGTGTTCTGTAAGGAGATCTTTGTCCATCCCTGCTTGAGGAGATTCTTCTTGTTTTCTCACAGATACCCTGTGGATTTGGTGTTAGGAGTATGGTCCATGGGGAGAGATGGTCTGTGTGTGCTGTGTGACCCCTGGTTTAAGAGGTCATTCTTCTAATGCCATTTGTTGAAAGCTCTTTGACTGTTTATTTATCTTGACATTTATTCAAAGTCAGTTGACCAGTGTCTGTTTCTCATTCTGAATTCTGTCTGGCAGGTTGTTGTGTGGCTCTCCACTGCTACCCCATCTTGGTTACCATTGCTTTCTCATCAGTCTTAAGGTCGGGTCCTGCCTTTGCCTGACTGTAGAGCCATCTGGGATTCACTGCAGTGATTTTTGACTGCTGCTTTCCTAACCCGCTCAGGCATTTTTTCCCCTCTTTAATCAATTTAATGAAAGAATGCTTAATAGATGTCACATACTATCACAAACTTTAAAAATACAACTTTTAACGAAACAAAACTTAAAATGTTTTCAACAAAATAGAGTCCAAACATCTCTTCAGTCCTCCATGCGTCCAGCACCAATGTGGAGACTCGGTGAGGAGGGGCCATGAGAAGAGGAAAGGCAGCTCCAGAGGGTGCTGCTCAGGGCAGCCACCGCAGGACCGGCACTGTGGGGAGAACCCCCCGCAGCATGGACCCGGGTCACACACCCGCTTCGCCCCACACCCAGGTGATCACTCAGTCCCACTTCCTAAGCAGTTAAACAGTTTTTAGTGTTTGCTGTGAAACTTTCTAAGATGTCTTAGGAAAGAATTCAGTGCATTGAAACTTACCATCCATTCACATTTTAGGAAAGCATGCTTAACCAGTGTCATATACTATCACAAATTTAAACTCCTGGTCTGTAAAGGCTTGCTGATTTTCTTCTGCACACATATACTCTTCCTCTGCCTCTCCCTCTCCTTCTAACCCCCGATATATGCACATTTTCTTCTAAGTTCTCATGTCCAGATTATGACAGCTATGTTTTTAATATAAAAAATGAGGGAACTTAGATAAGTTAACTGAGAGTATCTATGAGATGTAAGTATCAGAAAACCCTGTGCATGAGGCTGGCTGTGGTGGCTCATGCCTGTAATCCCAGCTACATGGGAGGCACAGATAGGGAGGATGATGGGTCAAGGTTATTTCAAACAAAAAAAAATTACCAAAACTCCACCTTAACAAAAAAAAATCTGAGCATGGTGGTGTGTGCCTATAATCACAGCTACGTGAGAGGTGTAAGTAGGAGTAAGTGGGAGGGTTGCAGTCCAGAATGGCCCTGCCTGAGAAATCACTAGAGGCAAAAGGAACAGGGCATGGCTCAAGTGACAGAGCACCTGCCTAGCAAGTGCAAGGCCCTGAATTCAAATCCCAGTACTGCAAGCAAACAAAAAAAAAAAAAAACCACCCTTCTACATGAACAAACAAGTTTCTCAGGCCATGTTTGTGGAACCTTCAGTGGCAGGACGGGTAAATGGTGACCAGCCAGGTAGCCTGTTAGCAGTGCAGGGGTGTGGCATGGCTGTTCTGAGTTCTGGGCAGTGGTTGAGGCCAAGGTCATGCTCCAGCTCAGTGCTTGTCCTGACCCCACTTCTCTGCCCTGGATAAAGATGCCTTACCCTGTGTTCTGCTCCTCCCAATGATTGTTGGTCAGTGAGTCATGCTTAGATTGATGGTCACAGCTCACCTGTAACCGCTCTTGGAAAATGCCACGGTGCTGATATGTGGTGCACTTTGTCAAAGCATAAGCCATGTGCTTGAGCACTTGCAGAAATCTTGTCTGCCTCATCCAGGCCCCTTGCATTAACCACATGTGTGAACCATTGTGCTCTCCTTCCTTCCCTCTGTCTCCCTGTCCTCTCCCCATGTGTGTGTGCATGAATTCATATTTGCATACTCACCTTTTCAAAATTTTGGCCACAGGGCCACAGAGAACTTGGTCTGAGAGCTCCATGCTCTCTCTGTATTACAGACTCCATGGATGTTGAGGACTCTACCTTGTCTTCCCAGAAGTCAAGTTTATCATCACAGAAAGTGTTAAATCCTTTGCCTGTTCCTGAAAAGTACAGGAAGCGAAGGATGCCTGGTGGGAGATTTCAGGTGCCCTCGGACCGGGAGCGTCTGAGCAACCTGGAGAGGGCTGACGGGCCCAGCAGCTTGGAGGAGAATCTGAGCAGACGGGACAGCTCGGAGGGCCGGAGCCAGACAGCCTTTTCTCGCTCTGAGGCTTCGGAGGTTGAAGAGCAGACATCTCACAACACAAATGATGCCAGAGCAGTGAGCTGGGGAGTAGAGGGTCGGCAGCCTGTGGCCTGCCTCATTTCTGTTGAGTGAGGGCTGGGACTCTTTCAGTACTAATCGTGACCTACCGTGAAGGTCACTTGTAGGCTGATTCTTCTTGTGCTTGCTTCCATACTCCCATGCTCACATGTTCTCTATACTGCCTGAAGTTCAGGTGGAAGCACAGCCACATAGTCCATGTGACTTACCCACATTTATATACAACTGTCTCCAAAGTTGGAATTGGTCATTGTGGCCAGCTGAAGCCACCAGTGAACCCATTATGAGGGGAGAATCCTAGAAATGGAGCCTGTGGTTTTCCCAAGGACTTGTCCTGATTAGAGATTGCTAGTTCTCCTGCCCTGAGGGGCACCTAGAGGCCCATGGACAGCTCCATTGTCTCCGTCAGTGGCCAGTGGCCCAGCTGGACACCCTGAGACCTAACAAGGGCCACGCAGATGAAAACAAGTCTGTGTATGAGGTGGGCAGTTAGGGGAGGGGTAGAAGAGAAGGGCATGGAAGCAGAAGGTCTGGAGAGTAGAGGCCCTTGACCCGGGCAGGACGCCACGGTGGTATGCTTAGTGCGTATTTGGCTCTGCGGTTGGTCCTGAGCCGGCCTTGAGGCAAAAGCAAAGGAAGCTAGCAGCACTGGTCATGCCCGGGCCATCGTGGGCCACTGTTAGTGCTGTTGCCCTCGTTGGACCATGTGAGAGATGGGACTGATGTTCTGAGTAGAGAATGTCTGGCTCTGAGATTGCTGTGCAGGTTGTGAGGCCAAGTTCTCTTTTCACTGTGATTTGGTCACTGTTTGTCTGTATCCTCTGTCTCTCACCTTTTGGATTGAGAACAAGGAGGAAGATGGAGGAGGTGGGGTCCTATACTGTCCTGTCACCTCTCCTAAGCCTGTCACAGGGAGCCTTGGACTGGTTTAACAGATGGTGCTGCCCAGGCCCCCCTCCTCTTGCATCAGGGCTGCAACCCCATGGGGCTGGGCTTCCTTCTGTGTGAGAGATATTCATCTGGGGCCCACAGGCTCACTGGTATTAAGGACCATACTACAATGAGCCACTGTCTCATAGACTCAAAACCAGCCTCATGTTGTCTCTCCATCACAGCCTTCTCCCAGACCACGCTCAACAGCTGTGCCTGCACGGAAGGCTTCCCTGGAGACGGCTCTTCTGGAGGCATTCCTCGACCTGGTGGATAGATGCTGGAGTGGCTGTAGGTCCCTGCATGGCAACGAAGTGTTCCTCGGTGAGTCTAAGCAGTGTCTGCTGGCACGTATTGCTTACCCAATGGGTTTGGGGTCCTCTGTATGTGAGCCACCCAGGGCTCTGGAGCATTGAATGAGTTGTCCCAGCACTAGGAAACTGTAGTCCTCCCATGAGTATTACAGTCTCTCACCTGGACCTTCCTACAGTTTGCCTATTCATGGTGACCAGAGCATTCCGTGGTGCTGAGAAAGCTGTCCAGTGTCGGACTCTGATTACTCTGTCTTTATGTGAGGATTTGGAGGGCTGGAAAACTGGCTGCTGTTTTTTCAGAATCTTCAATGTGTATTTGGTTGTACTCAGGCATGACTCAAGCTGGATTCTTAGAGCCACTGGGGCAGATGACTTGGGGCCTGGCAGGACAGTAACCTCCCTACAGAGGGCTTGGGTCTGTTTTCTTCTACAAACTGGGGACCCAGGCAGGAGTTCTCTGAACCCAGATGGTGGCCTCTTCTTCCTCCCACAGCCTGGGCTGTGCATTAGTGTCCCCTTGGGAGCTAAAAGAGGCTAAACAGCGTTGAGCAACCTCACAGCTCCTCCTGGGTCGCCTCTCACTCCTCCTGGGTCAGCACCCTGGGAATTGTAGTCCTGGATCGTGGCCCATACATATGCCCCTCATATCAGGGCCAGTGTCACTGTGCTTTGCAGGATGAGATGCTACACTTTCACCTACACATTCAAGACATGGCCACCTAGCATGTGTGGCCATCGCTTGAGGGTCACCTTTTTTTCTAGAATTAAACATTTTTGATTCTTCTCCACCCTGCCCATGACTATATGTGGAGAGACCAAGAGGTGATATCCAGGACTGACGTCTCTTTGTCCCTCTCTATGCCCTCTCTGTTTTCAGGACACTGTTTTGTCTATGCTCCAATCCTTTGGCTGCAATACTATAATAGTACTTCATTTTCCGTCCTAGCTCAGGCAAGGCACATTTTGTCATCTGTTCAAGAGTTGACAGCAGCTCAGGACAGTGCAGCACTTGGGAATGAAGGAGTTAGCTACCTGACACTTGAAAATAAGTCTCTGCAAAGCCGCCTTGCTGAGCAACAGCAGCAGTACACCACGACAATGAACGAGGTGACAGCCGAACTCAACAACACGCGGAAGGAGATGGTGAGCATGCCCTTGCACTGTCCAACTGCCCCACAGCCTGTGTCTTTCCTCCTCCTCCAGGGCCACAAAGCCCTCCCCTACCAGCACTCTGCTGCTCCTAGGCTCTGCTGACTGTTCCACACCAAGACCCCTTGGAAATGGTGAACTGGTGTTGGGAGTATTGCTGGCTGTTCCTGAACTGGCTGATGTCTCTTCTCAGAGGGTCTGGATGGAAGATATGGGAGAGGAAGGGGTGAGCTGGTTTGAGACTTAGTGTCCTGTCCCCACTATCTCCTGGTATGGGTTCCCCAGTCCTGCTAAGTCAGGTTTCAGTTAGCTGGGTAATCCTGGGGACCCTGCCTGTCCTGCTGCTAGGTAGCAGGTGGCCCTGTTTGAGTTTGAGGTACTCTGCCACCAGATGGCATCCAAGGGCAACCAGAACCTAAACTTGGACCTGGCAGCCCAGCTGATCCTTGTGTTGTGTCAGAAGTATCTGAGTGGTCTCCCTTCTGAGTCCATACTAACTGTTACAGGGCAAGGTGGCAGGATGAGCTGTGGAGTTACTGGCGAGCACACCAAGCAGTACTGACCCTGTGGTTAGCTGTGTGGCCATGAAGCATCTTGGCCCTTGGTGAGCGCTGGGTTAGCACACTTCCATCACCAGCTTCTGCAATCCACCCAGCATGGCTGGGCTGCCAAGGAGCCATCATCTCATCTGAGGGCCTGGCAGGTTGGAATCTTCTTCCAGCTCCCTCACAGCAGGCCTAGGCACATGTGGGCCTCTGTGCAGACTGCAGGAGTCCTTGCGGCACCAAGATGGGTGTGCCAGTCTTTGTCCCCTCTGCTGCTGTGCATCAGCCCTTGTTCCCAGCCTGCTCTGGATGCAGCCTCCAAAACAGACATACATACCCAGTCCTGACATGTTCAGTTTCCTGCCACCTGCACCCACCACACCCTAGAGTCCAATCAAGAGCTACCACACAACATACCAGTGAAAGCTACCTACCTTCCCGGCCCCAGCATGCAAGGAAGGAAGAGCTTGTGTGCTGGCCTCATTGTGGAAGGTGCTTTGGAAGGATTTGAAGGATGAACCTTAGAGACATGGTCTTAAGTCCATTGCTGCCTCTAGCTTGAAGTGTCAGCCCAGTGAGCATATGCATGCTGACAGTGGGCTTGCAGCATGCAGAATGAACAGGGCAAAGGTTTTCTGGAAACAAGGCATGGATCTCAAGGAGATGCCGGTGCTCACACCCCTGGTGAAAGCCAGGTAGGGCCTGTTCAGAGCCCAGACTTGGTACCTAGGTGTGCCTACTGGTATCTGAGCAGCAGGCAGGTGGGCTGCAGATCCATGGCTCCATCTCCACATGGCTTGGACAGCTCACCTGAGTCATCAGGAGCCCTGTGACTCACGGAACTTTGGCAAAGGCTGCTATTGCTGGCTCTGATGGTGACTGTGATCCTCACCACATCTCTGTATCACCTCAGCTCTCACCTGTAGTGGGGAGTGGCTGATGGGATTTGCCTGCAACTGCAGAATGAGGAGCCAGAACAGAATGGAATTCCCTAGGGAGGGCCTGGAATCTGCAGTGACCCCAGGGACTTTGTGGTGAGGGAGGGTCAACCAGTGCCCACCACCTGCTCTGCTAGCATCAGGCCTGAGATGTGAAGGACACCCTCACAGGGGAAATGCTGGACCATCTTCTTTCCCTGCTGGTCACTCCTTCCCTTCCCCAGAAGACGCCACAGAGATTAGGCCTGGGTGGACTGCTGCCCGGGAAATACACTTTGAAGAGTGGTTTTGTCTTCATATTTAAGTGTGTAAAGGGAAGCTAAAGTCTGTGATGATTATCTAGAGTCTCATTCCATTTTGTAGATGTGTTTTACTGAACTTGATTTTTTTGGTTTTTTTTGGACAGTACTGGGGTTTGAACTCAGCCTCACACTTGATAGGAGGTGCTCTACCTCTTGAGCCACTCTGCCAGCCCTACTAAATTTGACTTGGCTAATTATGTTTTTGTGCCCTTAGGATACCTTGAGACAGCATTTGGATAAATCTCTGGAGGAGAATAGTAGCTTAAAATCCCTTTTGTTCAGCATGAAAAAAGAAGTAAAAAATACAGACATTTCATCTGCATTACATTTGCAGATCACTGGTGAGTTAACAGTTTATTTGGTAACACTACTTTTTGAAATTTGAGTACTAAAACATGCATGGGGTAGACTTTGTGCTAAATCATTTTATGCCAAAAGCCAGAAGCAGCAAGTGCTGTCTGAGGTAGATACAAGCTCCTGTCTCACTGCCATTGTGGCCACCTATCTTGAGCCAGCCTGCTCAGTGTTTTCTTTGGTTCTTTTAGGAATTTGGTAAGGTGCTGGCTGCCCTGCCCCTAGGATGCCCTGTGGACTCTACCCATGCAGGGAGTTGTCCAGAGATCAGTTCCTTGATCTCTGTTTCTTCCGGGTCCAGATAATCTTCATTTCCTTCTCTTCAGTTTCTTTTATTCTGTTTTGCCATTTTAAGAAGAGCTAAATTCAGACAACTGTACTTTGAAAACTATTGGTGGTGGTGGTATCTTTTCTTGGCTTACCTCTCTAGGTCATAATCTGCATTTCAGGAGGATGGACCTTTGAGCAGTTTCTCTTTCCTCTTATCTTCAGGAGACCTTGAGGGGCCAGGAGGTAAATACCTCAGGGCTGGTGTCCTTCCCACCTGGCCTATCTTCCTGTGTCTTTTATAGCTTGAATCAGTGCAGGTGAGACATGCCACCAGACCTGTCTCTTGGGTTAAGTGTCTGCTCAGAGATCTCTTGCCACTTACTTTTATTGGGGGGTTTTATTGAATGGCAAGACTTTTTTCTTTATATTCTTTTCCCTTTTGTAAATTTAGAGCTTTTTCCTTTGTTTCTGTGGGGCATTACTTTTTTCTTTTTGCTCTTAAGTTTCTTCTAGGCTGGCCTTCATTTCCAGTGTGATTCTTTCGTTTGTCCTTGCTCATTTTGAAATGGTGGGTGAGAGTTGGATCTGTCCTGTGGGCCTGGCTGTTGGTCTGCGAGACACTCTTGCACTCCTGCAGTGGTTATGGGACTTTTCTGGTGTCCATTTTACATGGACTTTGTTCTCCTGGATGTCTAAGAGACAGGTCATGGCACTTTTTGACTTTTTGGATCAAAGCTATGGCAGCCTCCTTAGGGGATTTCTAGCCTCTGTCCTCTCCCCTCTGTCAGATGCCTTGTTCTGATCCCCTTTCCCCAAAGCAGCTATTTCTCTCTAGTGTGGACCCTGTTCGGGAAGGGGTCAGACTAGTCAGCCCCTCAAGACTGTATGGGACCACTAGTCTGACCCTCACTAGCAGGGCAGAGCCTCCCCTGTATCCACCATGGTTCCCTCCTTGGCCAAGGAAAACGGGACACATGGGGCCTCTCCCATCTCAGATTTGTCAGATGCCCTACTGGTGAACACTGCTCTCCACAGACAGATACCATGCACGACCATGCTTTCAGGTCTTGTCCTTGCTTTTTGTGTTGGGGTCTTGAGGCTTCTACAGGGTTCTGGTTTTCATGTAGTCACTGTTGGTATTTGATTAACATGGGGGTCCTGGGAGGTCCTGAGACCATGCTGCCACTGCCATCTTCCCAGAATCCCTTTCACTTAGCCCTCGAGGAGAAATTTCGGTGTACAGATTCAAAGTAGTTTTGTCTCTCTTTGTCCATGCCAGTTGCTGCTCTGCTGCTGTTGGACTTGTTGGTGAGCAGAGTCTGTTGTCAGTGTCATTGTCATTCTCTGCCACAACTGTCCTCTCTGTCTTTCTCCTTGTCTCTGATACTGTCTAGTTTTGCAGCGGTTTGTCTGAATATGGACTTCTGTGTGTCCTGTGTTTGTATTTAAGGAACCATTAAGTGAGGTGTTTCTTCCCTCTTGAGGTAGAGACTCAGAAAAAGACAGAAGTTGTGTAAACAGAAACAGAACAAATGCTGTCAGTGATGGGTGCAGAATCAGAGGACACAGCATATACTTGTGGCCACTGTGAGCTTCTTATTGCTCCTACCCAAACCACAGGCCCCTGAGGAACATAGTTTGCTTCCTGGTGAGGAAGAAGCCTCCAGCAGGCAGACCCAGTGGTGCCTCCTGCTGGTGCAGGCCCATACCCTCTACCCTCCACATGGGAGTATGACTCCAGGGGTGTCTGCTCCGACAGCTTCAGGTCCATGGAGGCAGCCAGAAGGGTTCTAGACACCCTATCTTTAAGCGGTTTTTTTTTGGTGGTACTGGAGTTTGAACTCAGGGATTCGCGCCTTAAAGGCAGGCACTCTACCACTCGAGCAGTACCCCCAGCCTTTTTACTCTAGTTTTATTGGAGATAGGGGTCTCACCTTTTCCCAGGTCAGCCTAGGTCATGATCCCTGATGTCTTCTGCTGTAGCTGAGATGACAGGTGTGTGCCACCACACCCAGCTCTTTTCCCTTGAGATGGGTTCTCACAAACTGTTTTTTGCTGGTCTGGAATTGCTATCCACCCTTTCTCACCCTCCTGCATAGCTTGGGATGACAGATGCATGCCACTGTACCCTGTTATTGGTTATTGGTTAAGATTGGGTCTCCAGAACTGTTTGCCTGGGCTGGCCTCCAACTGTGATCCTCCTGATCTCAGCCTCCTAAGTAGCTGGGATTATGGATATGAGCTACTGTACTAGGCCAGAAGCATCTTTTTCAAGGTCCGTGCTTTTTCTGGTAACACAGATCCAGCTTAAACTGGAATTGTCAGGATGTATGAATGAGCTTCACCTCTCTTCCTCTCTCAGGACTTCAGACGAGTGTGAAGCAACTCTCTGGTGAGGTGGTGGAGCTGAAGCAACATCTGGAGCACTATGACCGGATCCAGGAGCTCACACAGATGCTGCAGGAGAGCCACAGGTGCTTGCCAAGCCATTTGCAGAGACACTGAGGAAGGAGGCGGAGGCACAGGGAGGGTGAGGCTAGTCCAAGTGACACTACAGGCCACAGAGGGGCAGCTGGTGTTGATCTCAGTGGTTGGTGTCCAGGACCCACATGCATTGCCATGTTATGCTGGATGTGAATATAAAAAGTGAGGCCCTTCCTACTCTACATTCTGTGATGTGTCATGGTGCCCTGTGAGCTGTGGACATTGAGGTGTGTGGACCATGGGATGTGATGGGGAGGTATCACTGGAGGACTCCAGTGGAGTGGCACACATGAGAGATGGTGAAATGTGGTACAGTGTCCACTCCCCTGGGCTCTGGCTCTGTGGATCATACCCTCTGCAGTTTATGGCCAATCATTCAGAAACATAGAGATTTAACTTTGCTCTTTGGCTGTGGGGCAGGTGGCAAGAAAGGGACTGGGAGTGTCAGGCTGGTTCAAGCAGAGCCTTCACTTTACTGAGAGAAGCATGTGCTGGGAAGTGAGAGGCTGGGTGCAGAGAGGAAGTCGGCTCTGGCAAGGAGGTGAGCTGCTGAGTATTAAGGACAGGTCACCTGAGTTGTGTGGGCCCCATTGCTGGGACCTCAGGGTCAGGGTGAAGACTATCCTGTGGGCAGTGTTCTTGACACCCCCGTCCCTCCTTCTGCTTCCCCTCTTTTCTCATTTTCTCTTTGCTAAAGTGATCACACCTCCTGCTGTGTTTGTGACCGCTGCTGATCACAGACAAAGAAAAGCTGACCTTTGTGACCCCTGTGGGCCCATCACAGGCCTGCATTACAGAGGAGAGGGTTCCTCAAGCTGAGGCTGAATGAGGAGATGAAGGAAGGGGGCCAGAACAGTTAGCCCAATGGTCATCCAAGTCTCAAGGTGGCTTGGTGGTCATGCTCCCCAACACCATGGCCTAGTTGTGGGCAGAGCAGGCTGCAGAACTCCTAAATGCAGTGAGCAGACTTTTGCCCCTAGGGCCCATGCTGACTTGTCCAGCACCTGTTTTCCATGATTCAAGCCAATGACCAGCACCTGCACAGTAAATTGGTCAGTGAGGGTGATTATCTTTGTGACAGAAAAAGCAGAGGTCAGTGTGGCCCTGCTTTGTCTAAATTTGCCCTAAATGTCCTTGGCTGGGGCTGACTGGAGAACAGGACAGCATGGAGATGAAAATTCACTAGCACTTCTGAAACTGACTTTTCTTCTGCACTGTTGGCTTGTCAGAATCATCACATTAGAAACATTGTTGCCTGGGTCCTCTCTAGGGTCACAGTGTGGCTTTGCTGGTCATAAAGGTTGTCTGTCATCCTCTTGTCACAGAAGCATGCATCGGGAAGTACTGAGGGAATGCCCACCGCTCACTCATTCTTCAGCTCCTGTGTGTTGAGCAGAGCCTGCTGAGCAGCTAGCTGGGCTGAGGGGTCAGGTCAGGCCCAGCCCCACCTTGGTCTGGAAGGGCCAGGCATAGGGGCAGTGACCAATAGGAAGGAGGAAGTAATGGGGCCATCCATGGACAGGTGGTGGAGCTGGGCATCACTGTGGGTGGTAGAGCCTGGCCCCAGCCAGGTGTTGGGATGACCTTGTGCCAGTGGACTTGGAATCAGGCAGTGGGTGGTGTGGACATGGGAAGGGCTCAGTGTTCATCCCCTGTCATCCTCCAGCTCCCTGGTCAACACCAATGAGCATCTCCTGCAGGAGTTGGGTCACGTGCGGGCACAGCACAGGGCGGAAGTGGAGCAGATGCATTGGAGCTTCCAGGAGCTCAAGAAGACGGCGGCCCTGTTCCCACCCCGCAGCACCAGCCTCAGCGGCCGTCAGTCCTGTTAACTCCTGTCCAGAGCCTGGTTTTCCTCCGTCTGTTAAAGGCTGTGTGTCTCTGTATCTGACTGTGCTGATGAGACTTGTCTCCTCTGTCTGTAATTACCTTACAGTTCTCAAAATGTGTTCAGGGCCTGCATCTCAGCTTCTTAACATCCTGAAGTGGTAGGGTGAACCCTGGGCCTTTGTGTGTTTAAGACAGACCACTGACTGCTTTTTCACCATCGTCCTGACATGAAGTTACATGTATGTTTTTCCTCCTACTGTGAGAGAGTTGCATAAGATAAGTAAGATGGTTTTAGTGTGACAAGCAGTCCTTATTTAATGAACTAATTTGTTCCAAAAGTTAACTCAGCGAGTGGCTCTTTATAACGTACAACTGGTTCTTTTCTAAAATGAGCTGTGTGCCTTGGAAGGTACACAGGAATAGATACACACCAAGACTGAGTAGAAGTAACACTTAAAAACATGCTGGCATAATAAAAACATCCTACGCCATGCCTTACCCTTTTGCTTGCAGTGTCTTTCTGAAAATTACATCACGGGAGGATGTAAAACTAAGTTTTTAGCTTGGAAACTCACTTCATGTGTAATCCTTGCTATGATTGGTAAAGCAAGGTCACTTTAAAAAACAATGTCTAATTGATTTAGCAACAGTAAGCAAGCCTCAGAAGAAAACGCTGTGTGCTAGCTGAGTGTGGATGTGGGCGTGGACTGCATTCTGCCATTGGGAGTGAGAGATGGACATGGCTTGCCTTCCTCTCCTCACGTTGTCCTTTCCTGTCTTCTCCCTGTCTAGCTATGGTCGTGTCCCACAGCGTCAGCTTTTGTGACTTAGGAGGAAGATGTGTAACACCAAATTTAGTGTTTGCAAGTAGGGGTGGGGTTCCTCATCATCAGACCATTTACGGTGTTAAAAGATTTTAGTACTGGACTGGAGGTGTGGCTCAAGTGGTAGAACACCTGCTGTGCAAGGGTGAAGCCCTAAGTTCAAACCCCAGTCCCATAAAAAAAAGATTTTAGTGCTGATCCATTTATGTTTGCAGAAAATGATGGGCATGCTGTTTCTTTGTGTTTATTTTGTTTGAGTTTCAAACTAAGATTCTTGGACCTAGGAATTCATATTTTCCATAAGGTTTGGAAGTTCTAGCCACAATTTCTTCAAATTTCTTATCCGTCCCTCTCCATCCACCTCTTCCCAGCTCACTCCCTCTCCCCTCTCCTGCCAGGTCTTCAGTGATGCCTTGGCCATGGTGTTGTCCCACAGGCCACTAAACTCCCTGGCTTTTCCTTTACTTTACTTTCAATGCCTCACAGCCTGCTGTAGTCCTCCACATGCCTGATCTGATGGAAGCCTTGGTGGTGAAGTTTTTATTATTGGTAATTAGATTTTTAGTTCTAAAGTTACTTGGTTATTTCTTATTAAGGCTTTATTTCCCATCATATTCATGACAGCTTTCCTAGGGAATTCTAGACTTTTTCTAGAGTGGAAACCCACGAACACTACCTCAAGCCATGTGTGAGAACATCTTTTAAGTGTTTGCAGCACTTAAAGTCAGCTGTTAATGTCTATAACAGCTTCTTTCTAGAAGGTATAAAACATACTTCCTGGTGGCTATAACTTGCCTCTTTCCCAGTGAGTACCTCTTTGTGTGCTTAGTGGTCACCTGGGTTTCATTTTTGTGCAGTATCAATTTCAGTCTTTCCTTGGTGGTCTATTGGACAGTCTTATTTATTTGCACAAGTTATTCATAGGTTGAGCATCACTGATCCAGAAGTCCAGAGTGCTCCAAAATCTGAAAACTTTGGAGCATCACGTTGGTGCTCAAAAAGGGACACTGGTCTGGGGTGCAGTTCACATGCAGAGTACTTGCCCAGCATGTGTGTGACCCTGAGCTCCATCCCAAGCACCATGAAAAAAAGTGATTAGGATTCTCAGCCAGCAAAATATTCCAAAATCTGAAATCTGGAACACTTCCAATCCCAAGTATTTTGTATAGGGACACGGCCTATGATTCTGAGGAGCAGTTCTCTGTGGGGTACATTTGGAATAGTTGTTTTATTTTCTTTTCACTTGTTAATAGTGTTTTTTAAGAGGAATTTCAGTGGTCCAGTGTATCAATCTTTTTCATAATTTAAAAAAATTGTTCCCTTTTTGTGACATTGTGATATTGTGAAGTATATATTGGGTCTTTGTCCGTTCTCTAACACATAGCTCCTAAAATCCTTAGCATCTCCGAAAGGATTGTGTCTTTTGTGTGTGAGTGTGTTGACTGCTGGCTACCTCTGGGTCACTTCTGGATGGGGCTGGCCACAGGAAAGACCAAGTCACCATCTGAGGCTTCAGCCTCACCCTCCAGCCTCCAGGCGTCGAGAGGGCCCAGTGGTTAAATTGATCATCACTTATTTAGTCAGTCATGCCTACAGAATGAAACTTCCTCAGGGCTCGGAGATTCTAGGGAGCTGAGCACATGGGGGGGTCCTGGAGAGGTTGTCCAGAGGGGACATGGAAGGTCCAGTCCCTTCTCACACCTCCCCTCCTCTATACCTTTTCAACTCTGTGCTTTACAATAAACCACTAAATGTGTTCCCTGAGTTCTGTGAGCTGCTTGAACAAATTAATTGAACCCAAAGTGGACTTGTGGGAACCCCAAATGATAGCAGTCAGTCAGAAATACAGGAAATCAGCCTGGGCCTGTCATGGTCTGAAGGTGGGGTGTCTTGGGGACCAGGCCCTCAGCCTGCAGGACCAATGCTAGCTCCAGGTGGACATTGTGAGAATGGAGTGAATTAGAGGATGGCTGGCCAGTGTTGTTGTCAAGAGTCTCGTGTTTGCTGGTGGGGAGAAACCCTACATGCTGAGGTAATAGAAGCCTCCGTTGAGTGATTAGTGGGATATAGCAGATTGAATTTGTTACTACGTATTCTTAGTTGTGAAGATACTCTGTTGTGTTGTCTTCCAAAGGTGCTGTAGTACTGTGCATTTGAGACTTTAGGTATATATTCTATCTAGAGTGGCTTTGTGCATGTGCTGTGAAGGATAAGGGTTGAATTCCATTGTTTTCCACAGATGAGTCCAGCTGTCCCAGCCTGGTCACTGAGAAGACTCGGGATTGTCTGCTTTTGCAGTCTGTCCAGTCCGGGCTTCTCGCCATCCCGTATGCGATGCTCTGTCTAGGGGTGTCCTTCCATCTTAGGTTCAGTATGTCTGCCAATTTTTACCCTTCGCATTTCACACATTTCCTGAGTCCTGATTTCCTGAATGAATAAATACAAATAAATTCTAGGACAGTGTCTGACCCATAGTAAGCACTGCACAATCACTTGCTTTTGTAACAATAATTACCCCTTGCTCCATGGGTCATGGTGGCTTACATCCTGTTCTTACCAGGACCTGCAGCATTGCACTGTCATGAGTGAATTGGACTGTGCATTCCTTCCTGTTCTCAGGGAGAATTTATTAAGATTGTAATCACTTCACACTGATGTTTGGCGGAGCTTGCTGGGGAAGTCATTTGTCCCTGGAACTTTGTTCAATTAATTGTTTTAGGGTGTGGCAGAGCCTGTTATCACAGACAACCCTGCCTCTCCTGAGCTGCGCTGGGCCCTGGGCCAGTCCAGAGCAACATGTAGGAGAAGTGGAAGTATGTCCTGTCAGGACCAGCCGAAGACAGCCAGCTGCCAGTTCTCTTTGTCAGCCACACAGCAAGGTCAGAAAGCTTACTTTTCTTCTGTTGACCCTGGAGACTTCATGTGAGTGAGTAATAAACTTTGTGTGTCCAGTCATTGAGGCCTAGGGGTCTCCACTGTGATCAGCAGCCATTTAGCTACATCACAAGACTGTCCATTTCTGCTTGAGTTTTTATGTCATATATCTCTAGGAGTTGGTCCATATATCTTAGTTTTCATATTTTTGGCAGAACACTCATAATCTTTCAATGGCATTTTACGACTTCAGCACTTGAAGTTGTTGCTGTGGCAGAGATGTGGAAACACGTGGGTTCCTTCAGGCAGGTCCTGTGCTTTCCAGGTGAGGAGACAACCTCCAACTGCTGTGCTGTCCAGTTGTGCCTTGGCTACCAAGTTGTGGACTGACTCATCCCAGCATCCCTTGCCAGTGTCTACCCAGGCAGGGCTCCCTCTAGGGGCAGTCTCTGGAGCATGCTGCTGGGCTACCGGCCTTTATGCCAGTGGGCTTCCCGTCCCCCGCAGCTGGAGCTTCCTCCCTTCACTGCTGTTTCACCAAACGCCCTTTAAAAAGCAGCCTTTGTCCCCACTTCCTTTAATTTCAGTTTCTCCTCTTACCTTTGTAATTTTAGTCATGCTGAAATTACTAACATGTTTGTTTTTAAATGTTCTTTTACCAAGTTTTCTGTTCTGTGTTTCTTTCTCTCCATCTGTCAGCTAATGTACTTTGTACATTTTAGTTTAACTTTGCCGTCTTGTTTTGTACTTCGACTTTGTTGATTTTTTTCCTGCTCCATCATTACTTTCAGGTTATGTCTTTGTCTTCAGCATCTTCACCTCTGTGGTCTGGAAGCTGTGCATGCCTCATGTGCTTCTCCAGTCAGCACTTTGCCGTCTCCAAGACAATGCAGGACTGAGGCCTGCACCCCTTCCCGCTTAAGCGTGATGGTTTCCCACTATTTTAGTGAAATGTTTTTAATTTCACAAAGTATTTGTATAGCCATTATTAATTTGGAGTTATTTGCCCATTTCTTCTCTTTTCCCTACTTATCCTAACATTTCGTTCGTGATCACTTTTCTTTCTGCATTTACAATTTCTTTTAGTGTCTGCTAGTAGCATGTTCTCCTTCATTGCCTAAAAATACCTTTGTTGTTTTATTTATTTCCTTCTTATGCAGCACTGGACTTTGAACTCCTCTACTAGTTGAGCCGCACTCCCAGCTCCCTTTTTTTTTGTTTTGTGCTATTTTTCAAATAGGATTTAATGTTTTGAGGCCAGACTGAACCATGATCCTCCTACCTACAACCTCCTGCACAGCTGAGATCACAGGCAGGCTCTACCGTGCCTGGCTTGTAGGTTGAGATGGGTCTCCTTAACTTTTTCCCTGGCTGGTCTTGAACCTTGATCCTCCTAATCTCTGCCTCCTGTGTAATTGGGATTACAGGTGTGAGCTACCACACCAGGCTCTTTTGGGAAACTACTTCCCTGGGCTAGTATTTCAGGTTGGCATTGGTTATACAGCAGCCTGCTGATGACATTGAGCCTGCTTTGGGGTGGCTATGGTTGTTGTGGTACAGTTTGTGAGAAGTCCCCTTGAGTAGACCCTACCCTTAGCCTGTACCTCAAACCTGCCCTTGCGAGGTAGGTTACACAGTCCGAAGCCAGGAGTCAGACGGCTCCCTTAGGAAATTTGACATGAAGCTGTGGAGTCCTGCTAGCGCCTGTGAGAGGAGCATGCCACACACTCTCTCCCTCCTGGCACGTGTCCTGTATGTTAGCACCTGTGAGTATCAAGGCCCAGCTGGCCAGAAGATACAACTGCTGGCACAGACGGCATGCACTTTGAGGGAAACAGATAAATTCACATTTTAACACCTTTATTCATCACTTTACCAATCTGACACAGAATGTTAACAACAACAAACACAAGGAGCAAAATGCAGACAGACACAAGCTGTTTCATGAAAGCCTTATGAGCCAGGCCATGGCAGCAAGTTCAAAAGGTGACACAATGCCTTGTGCTCTGTGGGAAGGGCAGCTCAGCCATCTAGACTCCACGGACATTCCGGTGAGTTGGTTAGATGTCAGCAGAATGCCTTTCTGAGTCAGAACCACCCATAATGTCAACATTACCCATCACACTGATAAAGTGATCTCTCATTAATAAAATAGTGTAAAAATATATTGCATATATATATTTGTTTCCCTTTCTTGAAAAAAAAACTTAGTACAAACTAGTAGTATATAACCCTTTCAAGTCTAAGTTGTGCAGGTTTCCTTTGTTGTTTGGCGTGGTTTAGTTTTTTTTTTTTTAAAGAGGTCTAAAGGAAGCGAGAAAGTTAACTTCTGCGTCTCAAAAATGCCTGTCCTGACTCCCTGTCACAAGTTCACAGGTCAGTAGTAAGTCCGTGGAGGAGAGCTACTTAGGTTCAGTGTTTGAAGGACATTCTAACCTATTGCTATCTTCACAGTGCAGCTGAATTGTCACCCTTATATGAAACAGGGTGTCCCCATGCGTCATACTGCAGGACGGGAGCAGCCAGATTGTATAGGGTTCTGCGGGAGGAAGACAGCCAGACAAGTAGGTGATTTTCCCTGAAAAAGGACAGGTGGTAAATACCGTAGGTGTCCAGGCCAACTCCTCCCTGCTCCAGTTGTTTTATCAGACAGCTACAGACAATATGTAAACACATGGGTGTGTCAGTAAAACTTTACCCACAAAAACAGGTAGCCGTAGCAGCCTAGGGCCAACTGGGGAGGGGTGCGAGCCCCTGCCCAGGGCTGGGCCTCAGTGATAGGGCAGCACAGGAAGGCAGGCAGGAGATGGCAGGTGAAAGTACTGCAGATGCCTTTTCAAAACCATCTTCCTGCATCTGCTGTAATTTCCATGTTCCCAAACGTGACACTGAGGGTATTAAAAGTTGTGAAAGTACTCCAGTATAAATATGCATCTTTTGCTATATTTTCAACATCTAATTGGAGCTTTGATTTTGGTAAAGCTGTTACCACTACCTAGGTGTTTATCTTAGAGCACTAAATACAAATAAATAGGTGTTCTGCTAGGGTCAGTGTTCTCCAACACCCTCCTTCCACCTTCTCTTCCCTGACACTTAAGACACCATCAGCATTGTCCTCCCCTGACAGAACCTGTCCTTGTCTCTGGAGTGTCCTCTGCTAGAACTTTGTCACCTGGGTGTCACTCCTGACAGAATCTGTGCCTGTCTCCTGGTTGTCACTCTGACACACCTGTCCCTGCCTCCTGGGTATCACCCCTGATAGAACCTGTCCTTGCCTCTGGAGTGTCCTCCCCTGCTAGAACTGCCCTGTCTACTGAGTGTCACCCCTGACAGAACCTGTCCCTGTCTCCTGAGTGTCACCCCTGGCAGAACCTGTCCCTGTCTCCTGAGTGCCATCCCTGACAGAAACTGTCCCTGTTTTCTGGGTGTCATCCCCGACAGAACCTACCTCTGTGTTCTGGGTGTCTCTTCTCCTAGAACCTGTCTCTGTCTCCTGAGCATCCTCCCCTGACAGAATCTGTCCGTGTCCTAGGTGTCACCCGACAGAATGTGTCCCCATGTCCTGGGTGTCACCTCCTAATAGAACTTGTCCCTGTGTCTTGGTTTGCATGCTGTGCAGTTTCTTTTATTCACAGGTAGACATGGAATTCTGTTTAACCATAGTTACTAGAAGCTAATTTTTTTGCATAAAACATGCAACATAGGCAAAACACTCTGCCTGTGTTTTCATAATGTTCAGAAACTGACCAAGGAAAATGCACGTGTCTGTTTTGTGCAGTGATATTGGAGTCCAAGCATATGTTCTGTGTTCAGAGGGTACACACAGATGCCACAACAAATTCACAGACAATTTTAAACTGGCAGTGTGGTGACACCAAGTCTGCATGGTCTAATTCCTACTGTCCTCCTTGCTAGGTGATGTAGATGGAGGGTATGTTTTCAGAGCTACACTTTGAAACTGACCGAAGAAGGATACTGTCTTCACCTACACATGTGTCTGAGGAAACTTTGGGGACAGGAAGGGACTCGATGGATGCTTCTGTGTACCAGGCCCCACCCAAGTGCCACATGGTAGGGCTAGGGCATGGGGTTTTCCTTCCAGGAGCCCTAGAGTACTCTGGGGTTCTAGGCCAATATGGACAGGAGCACAAAAGACAGTGACTGGATTTTCAGTCACAAAACCCAAAGTGATCAGGAATGCATTCTGAGTGTTTCATCAGAAGTGAAAGAACCATTTCCTTCCAAGGATCTCACCTCCAGGGGCCTGAGATGGGTGGACCCACTGTTCTGAGCTTCTCCATCCAGTTCTGAGTAGAGCGCCATGAGGTGCTTGACTGCTTGGACAAGGTAACCATCTGTGACGGGCCTCCTTGCGATGTTGGGTGGTCCCCGAGGATGGGCACTGGCATGGTTTCTTTTGCTTAGGGTCAGTTTCCTAGGTGCTCCTGAGGCAGACCGGCCAGCCTGGGACTAGGCCTGGATCTTTGGAGATCTTTCTTGCCTGGTGATGACCCTCCCATGGAACAGGACTGTTCTGGTGTTCTAGGACCTCTTGTCAGTGTCCTGCATCCTCACAGACCACTGTGGGGTCCACTGGACCTGCTGCATGGTATGGGGAACCTCAGACATAACCTGACCCAGGTGCATTCCATTTCAGGGACTGAGGTCCTAATGGGATTCTTGTCTGTTCCACATGACTTTGCTGTGATGGTGGGAACTGGGCTGTTCACAGGAGAAAAGGATAACAGCGGTCACATGGGGCATTGTGGGTACCAGGGATGCTGGGAGGATGTAGAGAGTGCCAAGGGTCCTTCCAGGCATGGGGTAGAGCCCTGTTAGTGACCACTTATGAAAGTTGTGCCTGCCTTTCCCCAGATAGGTGAGATGATGTCTCAGAAGGGCGCCTTAGAGCCTTGGTCTTTAATACCAACACTGAACTCCCAGGATCTCAAAAAGAAGCTGTCCACTGGGCCACCCCCTCCTCCATTTGAGACTCCTCATGTTGAAGGGTTTGGCAGAACTCTGCGCCCTCAGAGAGCCCTGTTGGGTGGGAGCTCAGGTGGGCTGATGGGAGGCCTCCCCTGGGCTGTGGCACTGCCCAGGCACTCTCCAGGCTTGGGGAGGGGTGTGGCATGTCACATGCTATGGCAGTGAGGGAGGGGCCTTGCTGTCCACCTGTACTGTGGACCAGGCCATGTATCCAGGGTGCCCCCACCCCAAACACCCAAGGCACCTTGTGAGGCACCTCCCAAGGCCACTGGAGTTCTTTCCAGGACCAACCCCAGAACTACATGGCCTAGCAGGTCACACAAAAGGCTGCGGCTGTGTTCATGCATAGGGTCAGTGGTGACAGTGCCACACACCTCTGGACATCCTGGGAGGAGAGCTCGGTCCTCATACAGATACAGTGCTGAGGACAGGCCACCGTGTGACAAACTCATGCATGGAGGAGCAGGATCCTGGGCTGGCTCTGGCCAACTCCTGTGTACTCAGCAGCCCACGGCAGAAACAAAAGCCCAACTGCTATAGGCCTGAAGTCTTCTCTGGGCCTGGTTTTGGTGTCAGAGGAGGTTAGGGAAGTCTATTAAAAGGAGGCTTGAGAGAGGTGAGGATGCAGAGACTGGTGGCAGGCTTGTGAGCAGAACAGGGCAGAGTCTACTTGGGCTGCAGGCAGGAGGCCTGGCAGAAGCCTGCATCCTGTGCTGGTGCAGCAAACACTTGGGTGTCCCCAGCTTGGGGAGTGCCTCCCACCCTGGTGACATAGGGCTGGGCAGGGAGGATCTCCCCGGATTGCTCTGAGACCAAAGCAATAGCAAAGTCACTATCATTTTTTAGGACAGCAAACTGAAAAAATTCCTAGTGTCACACTCCAAGTTACCAAGCCATCCATTGTTCTTCAGCTGCCCTCAGCATTAGACCTGGTCATGGATGTGTGTGTACATTTGTGCTGGAGCAAGCATGTGCCTATATGACCTGCTGCCCCATACCTGCACAGCCTCCACCACACCCTCTACTCAGGAAGCGTGGAGGGCCCTGTTTGGGGTTAGTCTGTTTCATCTGTGCTGTTGGTTAGTTCATTAGTTCCTGTTGCCCTTGAGGCTCCTAGAAAGCTGGTCAGGAGTTCAGTGCAGCCTCTAATAGGGTCTACCCACACATCCCCACACCTATCAGCTCCAAAACCCTCCTTCCTTCCCCAGCAAACCAGATGGCCAGTGTGTGTGATCCTGGGAGACAATCTGGAAATAATAGCCATCCACTTCCAGAGTCCAGATGGGGCAGGCGTGTTAGGAAGGGTCGGTGAGTCAGGGCCCAAACCTGGGGTCTGAGAAAGAAGTGTCGGGGTCCCTGGCAGGGGTAGGCCTGGGCATTGCCCCAAAGTTGCCCAGAGGAGGCCTCTGAGTTCTGCCCCAGTGAGCACAGGAATGTAATGAAGTGTGATGGATGTGAGCCCCCATGCCGGCACCTGCAGTGTCCAGGGCATCAGCGTGCAGGGCTACTTGCCCCCCTGCACCTTCTGATCATAGGTGCCCGCATGCTTGTAGCCAGGCACATAGCCTGACTCATCCACCAGGTCCACGCGGCCAGCTTTGCCCTTGCCTTTGCCTGATGGGTCGAAGCGCTCCTTGTGGGAGCCCGTGAACTTGGTCGTGTCTGTGAGCCGTGACACAGTGGGTGAAGACACGGCTTTCTGTAAAAGAATGAAGAAAGTGTTACCACATGCTAGATGAGGGTTCCTGGTGAGGTCTGCCACCTGGCAGGGGGTACATCTCAGCCAAAGGGGTGAAGATGGACCTGCCTGGGCCACATATCCAGACATGGAATCCTCCACTCCTGGCCCGTCAGTCCTGAGTGTGAGAGGCGACAATTATTACACCAGTTCTCCAGATCTGCCCGGTGTTCATGCCAGTGTGCACCTTGGATACTACAGGGCTGTGGCCTCCCTAGGGCAGTTGTCCAGGCCCCACCCAATCATCCCAGGACCCCCACACACACCAAGCCGGGCTCTGCCCACTCACCGTGACCCCTGAGATGACAGGCGATCGGCCCTCAATGAGCCGGTGAACCTCACGCACAGCATCCTCATCGCTCTTGTCCTTGAACCGCTTCTTGGCCAGTTCTTGTAGTGCCTCCTGGAATTGCTCGAATGTGATGGTCCGGCAGGACTTCCCTCTGTGGGGCACAGGCCTTGTAAGCCACAAAGCAGATGTCCACTGGGACTAACCCTGCACAAGTGTCCTACCCCATCCTGTCCTCTGCAGTGACCCCACAGGCTGCAGCCATGGGTGACCAGCAAGCAACAACAAGCTGGAAAGACCTTCAAGGAAGCACACTCTTTCAGAACCATTGGATGTCAAGGCAGTTCTGTCTGTTCCAAGACTGGCAGTGTGGCCTCCACTCAGGAGGACAGAGGGAAAACTAGGGACAAGAGCCCCCTTGCCTCACTACAACCAGTTGAGCAGCCAGAAGACAGCCAAAGCCCATGTGGAGTTGTTACAGGTGACCCAGGAGACGGAGGTCGTGGTTAGTTACCATGAGGGGCAGGTTAGAAAGAGCTGCTTCCCCAGCCCACCCTCTGGAACCCCAGGCCCTTCCCAGGATCCTCTGTTTATTCTGCCTTGACAACAGCCCTGAGGGTGAGCACCCCCAAATGTACTCTGGCCAGTAGGGTGGCCTGAGACTAGAGCAGCCTAGACAGGATGGCCCCCGACCTGTGTGCACCTGGCCATTGCACATTGTTCAAACATCCTTACCATTTCACAAATCCTCCCTCCGAGGTCAGGCAATCTCAAAAATACTCTGAAGTTGCTATGTGTCTTTTTTTCAACTTTGATCAGATTCTCCCCAACTAATCCAAATCAGTGAGGTTGCCAATGTTTTGACACAGTTGATGCAGTTGAGGCTCAGGTCTATAGAGGCCTCTGTGTGTTACTGGGAAGTCCTAGCAGAGCAGCTCAAAAAAGCTGCCTCTCAGAGTCAAGCATGCTGAGGTCCCCAGCTGCAGGGTTCCAAGAGTCCAGGACTTGAAGACAGCGACCTGATAGAACCTGTAGATGTCCATCAGTAGAGAATCAGCAGGGCCAGGATGCATTCGAAAGGTGAGTAAAGTTGGAGTACTGACGCTAGGCAATTCCAAGACCACACTACAAAGCCTCAGTAAGGAAATGGTGCTGACGGCCTGTACACAGATCAGAACAGCTGGCCTTCAGCAAGATGTAGAGGCAAGTAGGGGAGAAAGGTTCATGGCAGCTGTTGGATCTAGAACAAAGTAAACCACCTTCTGTCCACACCTGCATCACATGTAGAATTAGAACAGTCCCAGAACTGACTTCTGGAAGAACGCCTAGGAGAGGACCTTTGTGACCTCACGTTAGGGAAAGGGTTCTTAGGAACAATACCAGAGCATGCTCCTAATGGGAAAATGGATGAACTGAACCTCGTCACAACTTGAAATCATTTGCACAACAAACCTAATGCAGGACTTGTATCTGAAATGTGCAAAGGGCTTTTAACACTCAACAGTAATTGAAAAACAGCTCAGTATAAAAAATGGACAAAGTGCAGACCACTGAAGAAGACACACGATGGAGAGCAAGCATCTGCCCATCATTGTCTGTCCTCAGGAAAATCACCCACTGGGACAGCTGCAAGTCACCTTGGGTACCACATGTCCTGCTCCCTGCTGGATGGGATGCCCGAGCACAGCTGCCTTGCAGTGGTGGTGTCTCATAAAAGCAAGCATTGTCACATCATCCTACAGTCTATTCCTGGGTTCTTATTCAAGACAAATGAAGATTTAAGCCCTCATGTGAACCCACTGGGGAATGTCATGGTCTTACTCGGTCACTAAAACAAAAACACTGCCCAAATGTCCTTCAGCCAGATGAGCACACTGGGGTACGTGGATACTGCTCAGCAGAGCAAGGACAAACCAGTGACAGATGACAAAGTGGACTCCAATTGCCAAGCCGAGGAGCCATACGTGAAGCCACTACAGCCTTGCATTTTTTTAACTGGTGCCTAAGGGTTCAGACACTTAACAGCCATAACTTGAAGACATGGGACATTCTGACCAAGAAGACAGCTAAGTCTAGGGAGGAAGATATCCCCTGGTAAACACATGGGGGTCCTGTAGCTGGGACTGTCCCATCTCACAGGGCTTCAGGGAGACCCATGTGGCCTCACAATCAGGCCAACTGGACAATATGGGAACAAAAGCCCCACTGGGGGCTGTGGTGCCCTTAGCATATAAGCTCACCAGCTGCACCTGTGACACTGTGGACCAGGCCACCTTGGGTGGGGCCTGCAGCCCAACAGTGCCTAGAGCTGATAGCCCTCTCCTCCTTTCTGGGCCCTGGGGATGCACTGGTCTCAGGCCCCTTGGGGCTTTTCTGTTTGTCCTAGGACATCAAAGACACTCTTGTATCCTACTCATGGCCCTGCCCCACTGACATGAGGATGCCAGGCCTAGCAGCCAGCCTGGCAACCTGCCACAGGGGCACACAGCCTTACCCGGGTGGCCTCGGCACCAGGCACTGCCAGCATGAGTCACTTTGGGGTGGGCTGGCTATTGGGGCTCCCCATAACAGGCCACATTCTTATTGAGCTGGATGCCTGCTCTACCAGCACCAAGAGTCCCTACCCAGCCCATGTCCTGAGTTCTACATGCTGCTGGGAGACAGGGCCCTGGCCTTGGCTCCAAGCTTGCAGGGGAGTCCTCCCTCTCCAGGAGCCTGGGCTCTTCTGCTCAGAGAAATCCCCAGAGAGAGCGAGCTCTGGGTGAGCAGCGCCCATATCTTCCCTGGGACATGAAACCCCCTCCAGGGTGCTCCTGGTACAGGAGCCTGCTCTCCAGAGCCCCAGGACTGGCAGTATCCCCAGAACCTGGGCCTTCACTGCTATTGGCTCCATCCTACCCAAAGCCAGCCCAGCAGGTTGTGGTCTACTCACATGCTCCCAGCAGCCTGGGGCTGCTTCCCAAACAATTTGTCCCCAGGTGGCAAAGGCATGCTCAGTCTCTTGCAGCCATGAATGTTGAGAGCCAGCCTAGGGCCAACACAGCCTGAGGGCAGTTCTATACCTCCAGGGCCTGCCTCTCCCTCTCATCCCATCTTTGGACTTATGCAGAGCCCCAGTCCCTCCCAGTGAAGGGCCTCACTGGGGCTGGATGGTGGCAAGAAACCTATGGAAGTGGGTAGAAGGCTGCTAGCTCTCTGGTTCCCTGAATTTGCAGAAGCTGTGGCTCCCAGAATGACCACCAGAGCGCAGTCTTGCCAGCCAGACACTGCAGGAAGATTCTGGGACTGCTGAGGGGTGGAGAGCAGGAGGTGCCACAGCATCTGCAGGATGTGAGCCTCAGGGTACTCCCATTGGCTCCTGGACTGAGACCTGAGGGCCCCAGACTGAGAGTCTCTGGGTAAGGTTCCTCCCTGATAGGGACACTACCCTGTGGGAATCCTTTCTGGATGCCTTCCATGGACATGATACAGGAGTTTACTGAGTGTGTGCTGGACCATGAAGCAGTGCCCTGCTGCATGCTGGGCCTCAGGTTGCCTATTCCCAACTAGTGATTCTGACTCCTTAGGAGCCTCAGAAATCCAGTCATTCTCATAGACACTAGTCTCTTGATCCTGCCCAGGACTCAGCAGTGGGGTCCCTGCCAAAAAGAGTGTGATACTGAGATTACAGAGCTCTATTAATTCTCTGCACCCCCAACTGGTGACTGGATCAGCCAGAGCACTCAGGAAACCTCTCAGAGATAGATGAGGCAGCCTCTGCCCTGTACCTGGAAGTACCTGGGTGCTGGGCACCTGCAGGTGCTTCCCATCATCATCTCAGGAAACAGAGCTCCTTCCTAATCCTGGCTCAGACTCAGCTGATGGACGGAAACACCCACTGGGTCAAGAGCCAAGCAGCAACCCTGCTGTGACCACTGTGCAGGCCCTCCGTGGATGTTTGTGTTTCAGTCGCGAGTAGGCGACACGTGACCCAAGTGTTTCTGCTTCCCCCAGAATAGAAATAAACCTATCCTCAAAGTCTCATTTCTCATTTGCTTTGAGCCTCAATGTGTTTTTACAGGGGTCTGGAGACTGGGGGTTGACCTTCTCCAGGTAAGCCCTAATGGCAACCACTGTGTCCACTCCACTCACTTGACCTGGCCGAGGCAGAGGTGGGTCATGGGACAGACACATCTGAAATCATTCAAACAAGTTCTGGGTGTTTGGGAAGGTTGTTTTCTGACATGGCCTACATGTATTGTCCAGCCAGGCTCAAGAGGCAGGGTAGAGGCACAGAAGATAGACTCTTGTCACCAGAATGGCTTGATACCCACCTGGTTGCTACAGACTGACCAGTGCTAACAAGGCATTGACCACAAAGCCACAGGGGCCACCAACTCAGTGACCTTCAGCCTAAGATGTTCTACATGGCCTACCCTACAAGAAGCCCGAACTCCGGGGTCTGCAGAAGCCCTGTGCTGCTGCACACAGCCACTAGAGGATTTCGCAGAGGCAGGAATGGGGACACCAGGACACCTGCATGTGCTGGGTCTTGCCCCATGTGAGGCCTGCAGGGTGGGGACACCCTCCCACAGCTTGTGACTGTCAGCTCCACCCTACCACACTGACCCAAAGAGCTACTCGGAACCAGGGAGCCTCAGGGGCTAGAGTGCCACAGGTAAGGCATCCTAGGTCCTGGAGCCCTGCACTTCCCATGGTCTCCCTAAACACTTTGGCCAGGCCCCTCTCCAGGCCCTGGTTCTGCTCCCGGGAGGGGCCAAGCCTTGTTGGCCCCAGAGCAGCTTCTGTGCAAAGCCTCCAACTGTCCACAGGCTTAAGGACAATTCCCAACACCCTGCTGGCTGGCCTTGCTATGTGTCCACGCTCTGCAGTAGCTGGCAAAGCCTCAGGCCTGGACCCTGCTCTCTGAGGGTGGGGGCTGGCTTTGCTTCCTTCTGACCTGCGTCCAGACGATAACTTGGCCACCCGGCCCTGGGTACCCTACTAACTGGCTCTGCACAAGTGTTGGGATGCATGGCACCCAGCAGGCCTGCCTGGACCCCTGGGAGGCTGCTGCTCCTCCCTTGGCCCCTCAGCTGGGCCTCCCCACCTGGGACTGTGTCAGCTCAGGCAAGGAGGAAATGGGTGAGCACAACCCAACCTTGAGATTCCAACATATCCCTTCATGCATATGCAGGCACGCACACAACTTGTGCACACAGACACACACACAGGTACACACCCACAGACGTGCCCACACAGATACGTACACATGCCCATACAGACACATGCACACAGTGCACAACAAACATACAGGTGCACACACATACATGCCTGCATAGACACACACAGGCATAACACATGCCTGTACAGACACACGTCCACAGGTGCACACACATGCCCACAGACACATGCCCACAGACACATGCACACAGACACACACACGGATGTGCTGTCCAGGGCTCCCTCAAGCTCATGTCTGCCCTGCCCAAGCATGTCAGGCCTCCATTGACCCTCTGGAGACCGGCCATCCTGAGCCCTTTGCAGGAGGAGAGTCTGGGTTAACAGCAGCCTTCAATAAAACTTGGTATAGAGCTGCAAGAAATTTGTTTAAAATTTAACACATAGTAACATCAAAACAAACAAGCTCTGCCATGGCGACAAGGACCTAAACAAAGGCTGCAGATACCCCAGCTGGCGCCACGCCTGTGGAGCCATGGCAACCTGCCCCAAAACAGAAATAGTTGGACTTTTTTCTCCCCAGTCCTGTCAGAGTCAGCGACTTCCTGGCGGTACCTAAGTGACTTCCTCGGATCTCTGAGCTCCCGAAGGAGGCAAAGACCTTTCTGTAGGAGTCCCCAAAGGGACCTTGGGCACGCACCCCTCAAATGCAAAATACGAACAGCCCCATCACAGCCACAGTTTTCTTGGAAATCAAGGGGACAGACAGCCCTGGTTGTCCTCCCAACCTGAGTTTTCAGCCCCTCCCACAGGACCCTATCCGGGAACACCCTCCCCTACAGCCCTGCTGGGGTGACATCCCCCTCCCCTCAGACGACGATGATGACATGAGCTTCATCCTCATTTTCGACATACATGGGAGGCCAGAGGACTCTCTCCCAGAACAAGGATGTCCTGAGTGGTGCCCAGGACAGAGGAGCCCCAGTGGAGTCCAGGCTCCAGGAGAGAAGGACAGTCCAAGGGTGACTGAGGGAGGATCTTGAAGGTTGGTGTCTGCAGACAGAAGAGTCAGAGTCCCTGGACCTCCCTGCAGTTCAGGCTCCTCACCCTGGCCACCTTATCACACCAACACAGCTGCTGCCTGGCTGGACACCTCCCCCATAGTGCCAGCAAGTTCACCAGGCACCAGAGTCCAGCACTGACAGCCCGGCTGCCCTTCTCCAAGGACTGCAGGTACTCACTCTCCTATACCTTGACCTCCAAGGCAGGGACACCCCAAAGTCTCCAAGCAGCCTGGAGTTTGCAGTGGGGAAAGAACTGTGCCAGGGGCCATGACTGGAGCCAGGGACCAAGTCTCGGCTCCTAAGTATCTCAATACCTGAAGTCCTATCTTCTGGGAGTGGGGTGGGGCCAGCTGGGTGTTCCCTTTATGGGGCTCTCTCATCTGGACATGAAGAACAAATGGCCTTCAATGTGGCCTCTGTAGGCTCCATCCCCCAAGTGACTCACAACCACAGTGGCCACTCCCAAGTAGGCAGTTCTACATGTATGCACATGTGTGCAGGTACAAATGTGTGCACCCATGCGTACAGCAGTGGAAAGTAGCTTCCTGCAGAAGGAACTGGAAATACCTCGGGGGTCGACTGGCCCCTGGGCAGTCCTCCTAGAAGCTTCCCAGGGCACAAGTCTCTGAGCTCCTTTACTCCTGCATCTGTCCCTCACTATGCTGGACACACTGGATTTACTGGTAGCACATGGGACCCACCCAAGATGAGGAGCAGGGTGACCTCATGGCTCACCTGAGACACCCCACATGCCCCTAACATAGGAGCAGTCTCCATGGCCCCAAGTGAGGTCAGGGTCAGGGCCAGCAAAGAACACCTGCAGGCAGGAAGGAACACTGAAGGGGGGCTGCATAAGATGAGGAGCTGCCCAGGCCCTGTCTGCCCCCAGCTCAGACACACACAGCAAGCAGCAAGCTCTGGGCACATCAGCTTCACCTGACACACACACAGTAAATATAGCTGACCTAGTTTCCCTCTCAGTTTTGACATCATGGGGCACAACCACTTGGCCCAGCAAGAGCTCTGGACACCAGGATGAGGACAGTGCCCATGCCAGAGGCTCCAGCCCCTGATCATTTGAACATAGACCAGGTCAGTGCCCCTTGCCCATGGCTGGACAACCCATCTGTGCAGCTTTGGTCACCAGGATCTGCCTTTACCTGCCTGAGACTGACCACTCAAAGCCACACCAGTTGCTACAAGGAGGCCACATTTTCCAGTAGGGGATAGCAGGGTGGGTCTGCACCCTATGTCCTACTCACAAGAAGCCTCATGGACAGCACGGTGGGCTTCAGCAGGCCTGGAGAAGCCTCCATAGCCAAAGCTCATTGTGGGGGCCCATCCCCACAATGTCAGAGGCCAGTCACCTCAGTGAGATCCAGAGGGTTTTCAGGGCCAGTGACCACTGAGGCCCCCAGGTTGGTCCAAGAAGGGGGCTGCAGCTGTTGGCAGTGTGGGGTCCTATAGGCTGACAGGCAGACATCTGGCTACACAGAGCCCAAGTACATGCCTGGGTCCTTGGGACCTGTCCCATGCCTTGCAGATGCCTCGTGCTCCCTGGTTCCCAAGGACCCTGGTGTCCTCCAGCTAGGGAATTAGAAGAAAGAATAGCTCCCAACCCTTGGTCCCTTGTCCTTCCTACAGCAGAAATGGAATACAGTCATGATCGACAGACCCTGCTCTGTGGGGGCCACAGGGGAGTCAGAACTGCCCAGAAGTGTGACAGTTAGGAGGACCAGGGCTGAGGTCCAGGATAGCACAGAGGTCCCTAGCCAAACACCTTCTCAAGAAAGGTTGGTGCCCCTGGGGCAGTGGGACCAGGCTAGAGTAAAGGTCAAGGTCTGGGAAGAACAGGGATTGACCCAGAAGCCTCCATGGTAGACAGCAGGGCAAAGTGACCACATACCACTAGTCATGGCCTCCTGTCATAGCCTGGCCCCAGACGGCTAAACCCATCAGAGATAGGTCTGAGAAGCCACAGAGAAGGGGCCCTGATCACTGCATGGTCAAGGCTGATTGGTTCACAAAATCTGCTCATAAAGATGGAGGTCACACAGGAAGATTCTTCTCCAGCTTCACAGGGGTTGGGGGTCACGAGGTGTCAGAATGAAGGGAAGTTCAGCTCAGACTTCCCACGTAGTCCCTGGGGTAGGGAAGCCTGCAAGGTCAGTTCCCTGGAGAGGGTCAGAATTTGGGGCTCCATTTGAGTGGGTTTCACAGCCCTTTCTCAGGACTATCCAAACCCAGGACACTCCAGACACACGTCCGGGACACGCACATGCACACATGTCACAGGGACACACACACCTGCCACTTAGGATGCAGAGTGTACACACAGGCACACCTGTGATGCAGGGGTACTGTGTGCACATCTGACTCAGAAATACACATGTGCATGTCTATGACCCAGGGACATGCCTATGACTCAGACACACATGAGAACACCCAACAGGTAGAGTGCACAGGGCACAATGCATGGTTGCTGAGTCTGCAGGTAAATGCTTGGCTGCTCTCTGTTCTATTCTCTCAACTTTTCTGCACTGTAGACATTTCCCAAGTACAGAGGACAGAGGTAGACAAGTGCAAGGTAGACAGAGGGCAAGGCAAGCTGCTGTCATACTCCTGGGGATGTCATACTGCTGGGGATGGGGCTACGTGGGCCTGTATCCCACTCAACCACACAGACTCAGCCCGCAGTGGCTGGGGGCTCTGCCTGCCTGAGCTTGAGTCTAGCAACAGCTCTCTAAGCGCAAAGAGCAGAGTTCATCCCCATCAGCAAAAAGGTCTGACCCCCCCCCTCCACAGGCCACATCCAAAGCCAAGCCCAGCACAGATAAGACAGGGATGCAGCTAAGAGTGAGGTCAAGGAGTCCAGGGGCCATCCAGGAACTCTGCACTCCCCAGGCCCACCTTGAATAGGGTGGCTCCAGGTCAGGTTCCTGGATCGTCCTTAAGGCCAGGAACATCTCACTCATACCACATCTGACGTAAGTGTCTGGCCAGCTGGGCCTGTGTGGATGGCACTTACTTGATCTTGCTGAAGACAATGTCCACATCAGTGACGGTCACGTTCTTCCCATCAATCACATGGCAGTCCCGACACAGCTTTGACCAGTTCTTGCCATGCATCTCCTTCCCGGTCGCCCGGGTGTCCCCGTGCACTGCAAACCGCCGAAAGGCTTCCTCCAGGGCGCTGAGCTCGGGGGCTGAGGCTGCCCCCTCATTAGCCCCCTCTGACTCCAGTGACAGCCGCTTAGCTGCCTTCTCCTTTGCAGGGTCCCCTGGGGACTTGGGGGGTGTCCTGTTGGCAGCTTTGGCAGGCTTGGCCTTGCTTTCAGCCATGTTGCTGGAGAGGACAGAGAAGACAGGACTCATTTTGTTCATGGCCCAGGCTACCACATAACAAAATAGGAGACTCACTGTGCACCTTGGTGGTAGGCCAGAGGTGCAGCCTCACCAGGAGCCAGGACCCCCTTGGAGCCAACTACCCAGTAGACCAGTGTCACTCTGGCTGTGAGACTCAGTACCAGGACCTTGTCGGCTGGGACCCGCAGGCTCCAGGCCAAGGAGACTGATTCTACTACAGCAGGCCCCATCCTGGGTGCTGGCCCCCACCAGGCATGGTCCCATGGCCTCCTCCCATGCCACACCTGCTGCACCACTCTGGGGGATGCCCCGGGGTCTGTGAAATGGTACTGTTCAGATCTCTCCTACCCCAGATCTGAGCCTTCTGACCAGAGGTCTGGAGTGGCCCTGAGGACATAATCCCAGACAGTAGTTTCCCCTCAAGCTCAGGGAAGGGGACCACCTGCGGGGAGGACCTGCAGAACAGCAGGAATACTCTCTGGGCTTTACAGGATGCTGATCTCCAAAGCAGGCGGGTGTTCTGTGGACCTAAGAAGACTGGAGGTTGTGCCACCTCCCAGCAGGACTTGGTAGGGCTAGGCAATGCCAATGACCACACTGTGGACACTGCCAACCTAGGTGGGACAGGACGTGTTCAGTTCTGGCCCCGAAGAGCAGCTGCAGGCCAGTCAGCACCTTCCTAGAAACAGCACCCAGCATCTCCACAAGGAAACTCGTTATAGGCATACAGCCATCTGCGAGGCCAGTGCCAAGCTTGCCTCATGACTGAAATGGCCCCTTCCAGGCTGGAGGTTCTAACACCAGTGTGGCCAAGCCATGATCTCCATCACCCAGGGATGGCGAGCAGGCTTCTGCCGAACTCAAGATGGTTCTCCAAACAGTGAGAACAATGCAGATGATACTCAGCCACTAGGATGGGGACTCTCGAAGTCTTGTTCCCAACCTCCTTGGCCCCCTCCTTAGAACAGCATGAAAATTATAACTCAGAAAGATGCAGTCTTGACCATACTCAGTGGATGCACCTGTAACCCCAGTTACTCAGGAGGCAGAGATCAGAGGGTTCACATTTTGAGGCTAGCCTGGCAAAAAGTTCACAAAACCCCATCTCAACAACAAAAACCCAGGCATGTGGCAAGCAGCTATCATCCCAGCTGTGCAGAAGGCATAAATAGGAGGAGTGCAGTCTGAGGGTAGACCAGGCAAAAACATGACAGCTTACCTAAAAAAAAAGCACCTAAAAAACAAAAAGGAGCAGCTCACGCAGTAGAGCACCTACCTAGCAGCATAAGTCCCTGAGTTCAAACCCCAGGACCACCAAAAAAAGAAAAACACTTTGATACTGGGCTTTGAACTCGAGATGGTACTGGAGGGGGTCTGCAGAAAGGGGAGTGGACAGATGCCAGGACACCAGACTCAGGAGGCCATGGCCAAGGAGTATAGAAAGATCCCAATTCTGGGATTCCTGGGCTGAGTGGTCCAGAACATTCTCCACCCTACAGCAGAAGCTGACACCAGACATTTCCTGCTGCAAAGGAGCAGAGCAGTGGCCCTGTTCTCAGGGCCCAGTGCTGAGGTTCTTGGGAGAATGAGCCCAGTTTGGTCCTCAGAAGGCCTACGACAGCAGGTAGTGGGCACCACTGGCAGGAGGTGCCGATGAGAGGGGAAGGTAAACATGCCTGGGCTCTGCCTGGTCTCCATTTTGCTTTACCCTGAATGTGTATCACCTTAATAAAATATCTTTAAAAGTTTTCTTTAAACAAAAATAATAAGATGAGTTAGGCCCTAAGTGTGGCTGTATGAAGACCACCAAGGCCATTGCTTGGTCTGTGCAAAGTAGGATGCATCAGCCCTGGGAGACAGCAAGGGGCAGGGGTGCTGCAGCTGTCAGAGAAGGCTCAAAGGACTCTGGGGGCCAGGGAGCAAAGCTCATGTCACCAGAATTCTTTTCTAGTGTGTACTGCTTCATCAACCCAGGATGACAGCAACTTTAATCTGAAGAGAATGGAGGCTGCAGCAGAAAAGTCCAGGATTTCAGAGGGGCCCAGAGCAGCCATGTGCCTACGCCTCCCTCATCCAAAGCCCTGCTCTTCCTATCCCTGCCCTTCCCACCCCCAGAGCCATGGGGTGGCTGTGCTGCAGCTTCTCCCTGTCCCCCAGGCAGAGGCCATGTTCCCCTGGCTTTCCTGCCCCTTGGTCTTTGAGGGTGACTGAACCCTGGGGGTCCTTCATGCCTCTTCCTACCCATGCTGGTGCAGTTTCCTCCATCAGGGAAATAAGGCCATTTAGAAGAGGCTCCCAGAAGACACACTTGACCTATTAAGTGCAGCAACTGAAGAAAGAGACTGCTTCCCAGGTGTGCATCCTGCATGCCCCAGGTGTGCAGCTGCACCCCAGGTATGTTCTCTGCACCTCTCTCCTGTTGGCCTGTGACTCTGGGGAGCACCCAGGCAGCAGAGGCATTCCCCCAGCCTTGTCCTGGCATGAGATCACTGCCCTGCTCCTACAGAGCTATCAGCAGGTGCCCCTTCCTGGATCAGCCCCCTGAGCTGTGCCCTCGCCCTTGGGAACAAAGAGAAAAGCAGATGAGGTGAAGGAGAGGAATGGCGCCAGGGCTGCTCAGAAGCTGGGGTCAGGAGAATGGGAACTGGTAACTGGAACAGGGTTTGGAGACAGACTATGTTACCTGATTTGCATCTGCAGATGGGGGCTGGGGAGGGCAGGGGAGGCCAGCTGGGAGGTGGAATTACAGAACTCACAGTGAGAAGAGGCCCAGGGGCAGCTGTCAGGGACAGCACACCTCCCTAGGCCTAGGCACGCTTTCACCTTACCTCTCAGCCCACCCTGAGGACCATTCCTGCTCCAATAGGCCCCACAGCAAATCAACCAGGTCCCATTTTTCAGAATGAAAAATGCTGAAGTAAAATCTACAGAAAAAAACTTCTTGAAGCAGTATCTAAAGAAAAGGTGACAGAGGAGAGATCCACTGACACACACACACACAGGCCAGAGCATCAACTAGACATAACCTGAGCAAACAGCCCCCTCCAGGAGGACTGGAAATTGGGGTGGCAGTGAACTGCCTGTAAGACCAGGTATGTTATCAGGAGCTAGTACCAATAATTAGGATCATGTGTTGTGAGAAAGGCAGGCACCCGTGAGCCTGGCAGGAGTCCATGAGCAGCGAAGCATCTGTGAGCAGGACAGGTGTCTGTGAACAGAACAGGTATGTCAGCAAAGCTGGTATCTGTAAGCAGGGCAGGTGTCCATAAGCAGGGAATGTGTCTGTGAGTAGAACAGGTGGCTGTGAGCAGGGTAGGTGTTTGTGAGCAAGATGGGTATCTGAGCAGGAGCAGGTGTCTGAGCAGGGCAGATATCCATGAGCAGGGCAGGTGTCTGTAGTAGAACAGGTGTCTGTGAGCAGGGCAGGTGTTCATGAGCAGAGCAGGGATTGTTATGTCACGAGAACAGCAGCCTCCATGCTTCCTTGGGCAGGGTGTGGTGTGTCTTGAATGTAGGTGGTATGTGCCTGCTTTCCCAGTCACACCTACCCTCCTCCACCCTTTTTCCCCAGGCCTCATCAGTTTCCTCACCTGCTGCATCTGCAGCTCCATCTGCTATAGACCCAGGTGTCTGGGAGGACCCTTCCTATCCTCCAGCCCCTCTCCCCCCATCACAACCCTTGATCACTGCCTCCCCTGTGCCGGGCTGGGCGTTCTGGGCATTCCAAGATGGCTAAAGGAGGTAGCACTGAACAAGTGGCACCGATGCCAGTGGGCATCTGGCCAGAGGCCAGAGCTCCAAAGGAGCCTCCATCCACCCAGACCTGCCAACACCACAGGTCTACCCTCTCTGGGCTCAGACCCTCAGAGTTAACCCTGGCCTTGGCTCCTGGACTCACTGTCCCTGGGAAACTCTGTCCTGATGTCAGAAGATGCCCAGGCAGTGCTGAAAGAGACCAGCCAGGGACTTCCACTGACACCACCATTGGCCCTGGCACAGCTGATACGCAAGCTACCTCTGGCTGGACCCTTTCATCCCCATGAGTTACAGAGTGGAATCACTGATTGAAGGAGTTCCCCAGAGCCTCATGCCTAAGGGACCCCATGCAGACCAGCATGCAGCCCACGGTGAGAAGCCATCCTAGCAGAGGAGGGTGCTCTGCAGACATGCTGTGAGCAGCACCGACCCAAAAGGCAAACATTCCTTGTGAAATAACCAGGTTTGGAGCATCAGGTGGGTGCAACAGGACCTTAACCCCAGACCTGTAACCACTCGGGTATACAGAAGGCCCTGATTGTCTCTCACCATGGACATCCCCACTGAAGATAAAGGCATGACGGTGATGCTGGGCCTGGGGGCCATTCCTGCCTCTGAACCCTGAAGATGCTATGCCGTGGTCAGACATGCTGTGTCCCCGCCAGAGGCTGCACTGTGGCCAGACTTGCTATG